AGCCGCTCAGCAGGAAACCCTAAACCCCTAAACCCTAATGAACCCTAAATCTTCCTTTTGGGCAGGGAGTACTGGGATCATTTTCGGCGACTGTCGGTGCCATGGGCAGTGGAGCATCCTGCCTCCAATGATGCCGTGCCCATCGCTGCCGCACGCCTTGAAACCCGAGAATTCGAAAGGTGTACTAATAATATATTGGTTTGGCATTTTAGTGTTTTAGGGCCCGGGTTTGGGGTCATGGGTTACGGGTATAAGGCTAGGGTTTGGGCGATATATATATATATATATAGATAGGTTATTCTTAAGGCCGATGTAGTACATCAATGCTCCCCTTGAATTCACGAGGTCGGCGGCCTCTTGCATGCGGCGGTTTGCAGCCAAATATGCCTGTCAGGATTAGGGTTCAGGGTTTTGGGGTTTTGGGGTTTAGGGGCTTAGGGGTTCAGGGCTTAGGGGTCTATGAGAGCTCCGTGGCCATGTCAAATCAACTCTCCAGGTCACTTATTAGCTCCTAGAAAAGAGTGGAAATCAGAAGCCATCTGTTGGCTGAGGAGTTTGACCAGTGAGCAACCACGGTTGCTGGCAGCTAGGCTGCTGGAAACAAGTTGACTTCCATTCTTGGTGTTGTTTGGCCAAGTTTGTCCTCAGAACCCTTCAGACGCTAATTAGCCTACCGACAATCGATTCCAAAGCACCCGAAGGCAACGCAAGGGCTGCACATCCCGCCTGAGAGGACACACATGTGAGGTCTCCGCATCCAAAGCCTTCGGTGCAGGCCTTGTCAAGCTGCTCGGATTTGGGGTGGCGTCGAGCTGGGGCTCAGTCTGGTTCAGTGCTTGCAGCACTTCGCTTAAGGCTGGGAACCACCACCATAGGAATTTGCTTGACAACAAACCGGGTAGAACCTGACACGTTCAAGGCCAATGGGGTCAAGAGATCTCTTCCCTGGGGTACCCTTGCGCCTTGCCAGCTGTGAGGTTCTTTGCATCCAGCCACTGTTGCATTCCTTGAACCTGATGGTATCACGCTTCTGGCTGAGGGTCGGGGCTCCGGGATGGAGGGCTCAGGTTGTGGTCCAGGAATTTCCAAAGCTCTGTTTGCTGTTTGTGTTTCTTGCTGCTCTGCTCCGGGTCCTTTTTTTCTGATACACTGGAACACAACTTTGTGCAACATTGTTACCGTAGTTCGGCTTGTGCAAGAGATGGCTAGCAAACGAACACAACTTAGGCAGCTTGCGGGTATTAGCTGCCCCATGGCTCTCTGGGATCAATCCACAGTAGTAGTCTGAAAACGCGCACAAACTCATCTACAAGTAAGTTGGCCACGACGCGAGACATTGTAGCGATAACCTGGAACAGCCGTCCAAACATTCCTTGAGGTCCTTGCTACTTTTGACGAGGTCGCCTCCCCCCACCTGGAGTCTTAGTCTTGCGTCAGAAGCCACGACGGTACAGTAAACGCCGGCAAAGCACACATATCTCAATCCGCTGGCTAAGCCTTAACAACACGAGACTCCTACATACGAAATACATCAAGGTCTGAGGTGCCTCCCATCTCTGCTCCAGAGCGACGTGATAGCAGAAATGGACAAGCCCGACCTTCCAAAAAAGCGAAGCCGAAGCAATGAGCTTTTTGTCGCGGTACTTCTTTGAGACCCCTCGTTGGCGTCAAGACGGAACCTGGTTGTGAAGCACGAGTGACAACTGACTGCAGAACACGAAGATAGCCAAAAATGCCACGGGTTTCCCCCATCAATACCAGATGTTGAAGAATCTGATGCATTGGGTTTGAACTGCATTGATTCGCTGCACTTCTTGAAGCGAGACTTGATCGTGCACCCAGCAAAGCCAACAGCTTTTGCTTCAGGCTTGGTGCTGGATTTTTTCTCCGAGCCTTGCAGACCTGGGAAAAATTGCGTGAATCTCTGGCGGTGCGTGCTGGACAAGAGGTGGAGGAGAGATGTCGTCGGGCAGGTCACGGGCGAGGACACGTCTTACCGGACACGCTGGAGAGAAGCCTCAACGAATGACTTCTCGTCGAAGCACTTCTACTTCTGGGCAAGGCAAGCAAGGGAGCAAATCATGAAACAGCCCAGCACAGCGGACATTCGCCTGGAGCCAGCCGTGCGACTCATCCAAAGCTGCACACATCGCCACAGCTCCCTGGCAGCTTCCCACTGCAAAGTTGTGAGTACGGAGGAATTTCTGTTCGGACGTCTCAAACTCCTGTCCACTTTTAGCCCTGTCAGCCTCATGATGTGGGAGCATGCCGCGGACGAAATCGACATCAGCATCGCATGTGAGCCTCAGCAAGATCAAGCATCAGTACCTGGTTCTGACCGTGCCATTCTGCGCATCATTAGACGTGGAAAATGCCAGCATTGACCCGAACTTCGCGAGCATCATCCCCTCCCGCATCCTCTGAAGCACAGCAGCTCGATTGCCATCCGGTGGTGCATCTGCTTCACGACAGCCTGAGAAGAAAGAAAGTGGCCAGTGGACGTGCCGTAGCTTCCATCCTCCTTCCAGCTGCCTCCATGGAGCTGCGGAAGGGGCACACCTGGCGATTTGAGATGCGAAACCTATAGCACGTGCTCCAAAGATCTCAGGACTTCTCCTTCTAGGCCGAACAACATCCGACTAGCACACGATACATGAGCCGTACTCATGAGGTCCCGTAAGTGCCAAGGTCCCCGCAACCTTGGCCTCCCTGTCGGTGCCTTGGGCCCGCAGCCCATGGGCATCTCGGACACCCAGCTCGGGAGAGTGGTCGATGCCTCTGTTCACAAGGGCCGACGTCCAAACCTTCTTTCCTACAAGTCCTGCAACCAGTCGCTCGTCCACTTCTGTGCCGAATCCGTGCTTTAGCACTTTCCAAGACACCTCGATGCTAGAGGCAATGCTCGTGGTGGATGTGGTCGAAGAGCCTTTGACACACAATGTCCGCTGAATTTCAGTTGCAGCTGCTGTGGCTTCGCTACAGCTACCGGGTTTCGCCGGAAAACTGAATCAGGTTACAGGGAATTGAGCGGCTTCACACCCTGGCGGCATGCGTTGTGCACTTCGCGATCCCTGACATCCCTGGAACCTGCCTGGTCCAGTTGCAGCACCGGATGTGCTGGCAGTGGTGGTAGTAGTGGGAGTGGTGGTCGCGGAAGTTGCAGAGGTTGCCATGGAACTGCGCTGAGAGATACGGTGGCATGCAAAATAAGCCATCTAACTTTGGCACGGGTGGGCGCCGAGTGAGCCTACCAGTACAGCGGTTTATAGCTGGGAACCCGGGATTCCTCGTCGATCAAGTAGCCTTTTTTCAAAATATCACAACAGCTCCCCTTGAGGCAAGCTTTCCTCGGCATCTTCCCTCGCAGAGCATCTGGAATGCAGAGTTGCCCTTGCACCGGGAATCGACTCCACTACTCTTGACCACCTTAACATGTTGCCTCGTGAGCCTGTTGTAGGCAACGAGGGCCAGAGCCACACACGGCCAACACAAACAGAAGGAAGAGATTTGGCTTCGGGTCGGGGGCATGCTGGGTCTGCTGATCTTTTGTAGCCGGGAATAAAATCAGCGCAGTCCTTGCCAGTACTTGTGCTCTCCAGTTTCCGAACAGGTGAGCTCAATCATGATGACTGGTGACGAGCTTTTCTGAACTTTGCGCATCTGATTCAAACATGCAGAACAGGTGAAGCTAGAGACGTACCGTCGGCCTTGTTGACCCGAGCGGTGGCGTGGTGTTTGCTGGACCTTAGCGTGTCTGCACAGCCGCAATGCTTTGCCAGCTCAAACAAACTTCTCTTGCGACTGGCAAGCATTGGAGCAACGGCATCGACGGCACCTTGAGGCAAGGTGCTTGTTGCAACCTGGGCGGCGCTTGTCGTCGTCCACGTTACAGTCATGGTGGTAGTTCCTGCCGCAGTATCCGAGGGCTTCAAGACAACATTTGGAGCCTCGGAGCCCAGGACCGCGACGGCAAGACTGGAGCTTGTTTTTAAGTCACGAAGTGGCTCGATCTTTGTGAATTTGGAAGTCAAGTTCTATGAAAGGGTGTCAATCCCACGATGCGGCTTGCGAGGGCTTGGGGCCTGGTCCTTCTTGGCTGCAGTAGCTCTCCCTCGACGGCACGCCTGCTGGACAGGTATGTCTTCAGCGTGTGTGCTTGCATCCGGAGGGCATCTGGGGCGAAGCGCATCCCATTATGCCATGGGGCAGGATGAGCGAACACTCCATAAAGCCATAAAGCTTCTCAGAGGTTTCCGGTACCTTTTTGGCCCGGCCTGCGCAGTCCATGACCAGGGGCCGTCCTTGCCTCGGACGGAAGCTCCGCACAAGATAGCACCATGTCAGGCTGCACTTAGCCGGCTTAGCCTTAGCCCAGCCAAAACCGCCCTCCCTCCCTCTCACTGAACTCATGAATTGGGTGACGTTTCGACCAGCTGACAACTCCAACTTTCGACTTGTCCTGCGCAACCCAGACGTGCTTCTCTGCAGAAGCCCATCCTCCAAGCTCCAAAACCACGGATAAAAACCGGCCCGGGGTTTTCTCCTACGCTTTTTGGGCCTCCGGCCCAGAGGGGGTCCAAAGCTCCCAGAAATCCGCGGCGCCGGAGAAGGCATCCGATGGCCTGTCTGAGCGGCCCAGGAGCGATGGCATCCATGAAAAGCTCATTTAACTCTTGCTCTTATATTTGCAGGATTTCCAAGAAAACAAGCGCCAAAGCTAATCCCTCAGTCCTGGCAGCTTCAAAGCTCAGACCCTCCAAAACGGGCCTGTCCAGGTCTACGTTGCCGCAGTCATCGCAGGAGGCTTTGGGAATGCGGTTGTTGCCGAAAAGGTCCTGTGCAGAAGCAGACTGCTGTCGAGCTGCATCCAGGACTCCATACAGAAATGCCGCGAGATGCTTCGCTGCGTGGCGTTATCCAGAAATCTCCAGTGCATCAGCCTAGACGATCCTACACACAGCTGCTTACCACCCACGTCTCTGTATGGTACGCTTTCTAGCAGGAAGTGATTTCAATAAAAGCCTTTGGGGCTAACATGGGAAAGCCTTAATTACTGCTGTTTCAACCTCGTATGCTCGGGCTGACAATGGCCGCACCGAAAGACTCCAGTGGATAGAGGGGCCCCACATGCTATGCTGAGGAGAAGTCTCATGTATATGCGTGCTTGATCGACCTACCCTTGCGCATGGAACCCGGCACTTCCTTCCGAAGACCTCCGGCGTCTTCCCAACATACCGAATCTTTCAGGGTCAATTCAACAGCTTGGGGATGCTTGGGGGCTCCGGGTTCTTGACAGGCGGAAGACTGTTCTGGAAAAGGGGAGAAAGAGCCCCTGACAGCCAGGTTCATCCATTTGTTCGTCATTCAAGCCTCCGCTTCTTGTGAGACTTCGCTTCAATGAGCAATCGGAACAGCTGTTTTACTAGTTCAGGGTTCGCCTCGGCGATGCGGTCCAGGTTCTCCTGCACGGGTTCGGTGAATATAAGAAGACACCAGGACCATAAGCCTCTAGACACTCTTGCTCCCCAACGCCCTGATTGAGGAATTTAAGGAGCACAGGGCGTTGTAGCTGATTGTTACAAGGTGCTTGGCCCCATCAAGCTTCGCCTGCTGTTGGTCCAACAGCTCGCAGCTGTTCGCCTTAATCATCTCGAGGCAGGCCATCTCCAGCAGCCCACCCGTGCCTACAGAATTCAGGATGATTTCATTGAAAACATTGAGGCTTTCAATCGGCTCAGCCGTCTAAGGCTCCCATCAGAAGAAGTGAAACCTCTGACTTTGGCAAGGGGTCCGCCACGATCGAGGTAGTTGAAAGCGGCTTTGCAGCACACACTTACACACTTCAGCGTGCATTACCCTCAGGGATGTAGAGGGTCGAGGACAAGGACTGCCCCAACTGGTTCTTATGCAAGGTTGAGAAGCGCACCTGTCACCTGCCCCAAGAACTCGAGCACGTTGTCGGCGCAAAGCAGGCTCTCCAGCTCACTCTCCGCCTTCAGCAGAAGCTCTTTGAGGCCGTAGCGGTCGGCAAGGCGGCCTCAAAGCAGAAACTTCCATGGCAGATCCCTTGAAAAGAAAAGATAAGGTTTACAAGGGCTCTGCAGTTTTGCTTATAAGCGCCAACAACTTTCGTGCTTTTAATAGCCATGCGGCGCACCGCAAAGGCCAGGAGCGCGTCTCCCCTCGCCAGGAATGTCTCGGACATGAAGAAGGTTAGGATCGCAGTGACCGAGCGGACATCGGCGTGAGGATCCGAACGCAGATCGATTTCGTTGGTCTGTGCTTCCTTGAACCTCGCTTCGGAGAGCATATCCCGGAAGTAGTCCGAACGTGCTATGAGAACCCGCTTGTCAAAGAAGATCGGTGGGCCATCGCGCACGAAGAAGGTAATGAAGGCGGGGTCTTGTGTAAAGTCCATGGCTGGGTAGCTGCAGCTCGGAGCTTCATGGAAGTTCCGCCTAGCGAAGTTTTGGGCGAAGCTTGGGGGCAGGTGCTGCAGCTAGCGAGTGCAGGTACAAATGCTGCAGAGTACCTAGTATCGAGTCTTTAAGTATAGTGTCAAAACCAAGTCCTGTCTTGTAATATCAAACTCGACATACTCTAGAGATTTAGAGTCAGTGATTAGTGTCTATACGGACGTCCTGTTTATAAATATAAGTCCCACCCCACAGCTCCTTGTGGGCAGTCTGGCAGAAGCTTCGAGCATGAGCTCTCCGTTGTTGCTCAACCATCCGCTCCAATCCCGCACGAAGTTTTCCCAGCCCACACATGGTTTGGCAGATGTAAATGTGTGGCTTGTAGTCTCCCGCATCCACCACTGCCCATGATACCCACCGTGCAGGGCCGCGATGTCAAATCGCACGTCAGGGCAAGACCACTCACTCTCGGCCAAGTGCGAAGGCGGGATGAGCTCGAGGAATGCCCCCAGCGACCCGGCATTGTGGGGGCCGACGCCAAGTGGATAGACCTTTAAACGCATCCGAAACGAGCCCGCTGGGCCATGCGTGGCGGAATACTCAGGCTGTCCTGGTGCATATGCTTCTAAATCCCCATTAATCTGCATCTCCAGTTTGTACCAGGCGGTGGCTCCCAAATCGGGGCAGGCCGTTGTCGCCGTATCGACCTCAAAGAGCTCAGACGGCGATACCTGGGAGTCTTCCTCAGAGCTGGGACTTGCTGCAGGCGCCGGCGGCACGCTTGCAGGCGTTGGCGGCAGGAATCCAGGCGTTGACGGCAGCAATGCAGGCGTTACGTAAGTTACGCCTGCAGGTGCCGGCGGCACGCCTGCAGGTGTTCGTGGCGCGAGCACGCCTGCAGGCGTTCGCAGCGCGAGCAGCCTCGCAGGGTCAAACATCGTCGCAAGCTCTGCCGAGCCTTTTGCCTAGCTGGCCCAGCTCTGCATTCTTAAGCCACTGCGGCTCCAGCTCATCAACGGCTCGTTTACTCTGTGGCCATCTCTCGCCTAATTAAGCTCCGAAACCCGGAATTGCTGGCCTACAAGCGGCCGATTGCCCCAGCTCTGCAACTTTGAGTGATCCCCTGTCCTCTGGACGTTCTGGCCCTGCTGCACCGAGCATGACCTCAATAAATTCAGATGTTGGCTTTGGCGTTAGGGCTTGGGGAGTATCATTTCACTGTTTAGGATTGACTTGAAAGCTTTTCTTCAGGTGCGGGTTTCGCACCGCCAGAAAAGTCGTGCATCTCTGTGATGCCGAGAGCTTGGATGCTTCTTTCCCAAGGCTCTGGCCCAGAACTTGCCTCGGCTCCGCTGTTGCAGCTAGCAGAGGTGATGAATCGGGGATGCATGAACATGTAGTGCAGTTTTCCTGATGTTGCACGACTCCGATGTTCAGGCGCCTCTCTGCCCAGGGCCACTCTAAAAACGCCACAAGAATGTCACCGTGCACTCCGAGGTTCTAAGCCATGCGCCCAAGCTCTCAGAAATCAGAAGGCCCTCCACAAACAACTTCAACCCGCAGCCGCAAGCTCCCGGGCAATCTCTGGGGCTCTAGGTTCACAACTATCGCAGCAGCACACAGCAAGTCTTACGGAACTAACTTTAACATTACTGCGGTTTCCTAACTTTCAAGGAAGATGAACACTGGAAAACCACACTAGCGGCGGTGGCGGTGGTGATGCTGAGCTGCGGTATGGATGAGCATGCAGCTGGCGATCTGATTGCAACTGCTGCGAGCAATCAGCTCGATGCATTCCGCTGTTGGTATCGCTCGTGTGTGTGTGTGTGTATCTTGTCTGCATACAGCCAAACATGCACGCCCATACGCGCACACGTCATCATCACCCTCACCATCACCGTTGCCATCCTCTCATCCTCATCGTCATCATCATCGTCATCAACATCACCATGATCACCATCGTCTCCGTTATCATCAATAACATCATCATGGCCGTACGCATCATAATTGACATCCCGTCATCGTCAGGGTTGATGCTGCGCTAACAACGAAGACTTACATGTCGGGATGGCGGGCAGG